GCTTAATTAGTGCTTTGAGTTTGTTGTTCTTAAAAGAAGTTGGGATTTTTAAGTTTATGTACTCCAGTGACATATTAATCAATTACTGAATTAGTTAATGATCATTTGAATAATTGATTAATGGGGATTAACTGTTTAAGCCCTAGTCAACGGTACAAACATTTAAATCCCACCTTTTGGGAAGGCTTGAATTCAGGCCTGATTTGTTTTGCAGCACAGCCTCCTTGTTCCTCAAAGGGGGTGAAATCTAGGCCATCCTCTCAGAAAACAGAAGAGACGGGAGGTGGAGACAAGTGAGCGAGTGAAAGTTCCTCTGAAGGATGAAGAGGAGCAGCGCAGGGTTTGGGTATATTTATACCACCCTGTCTACGGAGCCCCACTTTCTAATTAACTCCGAATTAACTTGTGACGAGTCGAGGGTGGGCAGCTTGGATCCGTGGCTGCAGATATAAACGTCTCTTCTCTTATTAGCCCAATTTGTCGGGCCTCTGAGGGCCCCCGCCGGCGCTCCTCTTAGCCGCCCCGGAAAGTCCAGCATCTGCTCCCCAGAACCGTTTTTGCTGCACATCAAAGCTGCAGCATCGGACTTATCTGGGATGATGGAGAAAAGATCTCCAGGGTCTCCTGCAGCCAGCAGGCGGTGATGACATACTTAAAGACTTGTTTGAGAAACTGTCACTGGAACATGTTTATTGTCTTGTGTTGTTATATAAAGTGTAACACAGAAACGAATGAAAGAGATGAAAGCAGGCTGTTTGTTAGTTTCATCAGGTATTACAATCAAAACACAAGGGCATAACTCTAAGGCTGGAACTGGCGATTATTATAGTTATTTATTATTCAACCAAATAATTGAAAAAGAAATTAACATATTCTAGAGATTTTTCATTTAATTACAGAAATGTTTCTTTTATAATATTAGAAATACAGTATATTAAAATATACAAATGTAGCCAACAGACTTCTGATTATGTTATGCATGTATGTTTTTTACATTTTATGTCACTTATGGCTATATTTGTGTTTACTAAAATTTAACACCTTGGATGGAGTCGCTTCTCAACCACTAAGCTACTTCCTCTTGGGGATCAATAAAGTATATTCTACTCTACTCTAAATGAACAAATAAATTAATTTTTTAAATAACAAAATTTTCTTTTTCTTAACTTTTAATGCAACAACAAGCATTCCTTTAATGTATGTTTGTATATACAGCACACAATCTACCTGCAGCTAAAAAACAATACTTGAAACATCAACATGTGAAAAGTTCAGCCCTTTCTGCTTGACTCAACATCAATATTAGTGATCTGTTGATTAATAATAGCAAACAGTGCTTAATAGGAGAATTTGAACAAGGTTGACTAAAACGGAGGACTTTTGGTTATAATTAATATTTAATAATATTTATAATACTTGCTAAGCCTGGTGGTTGGGCAGTCGTTCATCCAGTAGCCCGCCATGTTTTTGAGTTAAAAAACATTTAAAGTTGACAGGACATTTTAAAATATCACTTGATAATTACCTTTATGTGTTATTAAAAGATTGGAAGATTAATACCTGAACACCAGTGCTTAGCCTGGGGGGCACAAGTACAGCCTGGTGGCCCGCCAGGCTTATAATACACTGGAGGAAAGCCAGTATATTTTGTAGACTTCTGGCTTAATTACTGCTCTGAGTGTGTTCTTTCAATAAATCCCCCTTTCTCAGAGACTCTATATTCCAGTAAACAATTAATCTACCACTAAATGAGTTGATCGATTTAATAATCGATCAATCACTATTAATCTGATTAATTGTTTGAGCACTACATGACTGTTTGTTTGTGTTTCCATTACCATGGTGGTCCGGTAGCATCTCCAAGGTCGGAACTTGTCTGTTCCTCTTCGTCTGCATCTGTCTCACTCTCCGTCTCTTCCTCTGTCCCTGTGACTAATGACAGGCTCCTCCGCTCGTTTCCTTATATAGAGCCACACTGTATGATCTGCCTCAGATTGGGGCAGTGCAAACACTCACCGAGTCCTGCAGGATTCAGGTGCCCCTTTGTAACATTAAGATCAACATTTAACAAGCATTTCCTCTTTAGCTCATTCGATTCTGTGTCTTTTAGTCAGAGTGGACTGGGCGTAGTTAGAGATCTTCATGTTAACATAAAGATTTGTAGCAAAAATGTTGTTTTTGTGACTTTATTACTTTTATTTCTAACAAAAAGATGGTGACTATTTCTCGCTTATGCTAGATTTATGAGCAGTGCTATGAAAAAGTTTGTGTCCCCTAGAATGTTTCTTCAGTTTTTCCTACTGTTCTGAGACCCGCCAGGCTGAACATATTAATGCATATTAAGATATATTTGGTGTTTGAACTATTAAAATACAATCAAGTATTTTGAAAGGGGATCTAAAGTTTCGGTGGATTTCATCTGTTTGTGGGTGACATATCAGACCGAATACAATACAGCAGGTTGTATTCGGTCTGTATTGTATATTGGTCTGCATATTGATAAGCTTTTATCAATATGCTTGATAAAAGCTTCAAACATATTGAAGCTTTTATCAATATGCCAGGATATCTGCAGGATAAGCTCATTAACAATGTCATTGTCAACTACTGAACATCCCATTGAAACACCTTTGTGGAGTGTTTGTGGTATTGAGAGTTTTGGGAGTAAAGCTCCTTTGCTTGATTTTGTGGAGTTCTTATTTTTGTTTAAAGTAGTAGTTTAAAATAATTACCAGACAATTCATCACATCAATGAGGTATTTGCTAAGCTTTGTGCCTGGTTGCCATCTTGGGCCAAAGAGCCTACTTTTGTATTATATTTGCTTTTTGTAACAAATGCCAACAAAGCCTGTGAATCCCCCAAGAGTTCTTATTATAGACTGGTTGAGTAAGGAGAAACTTTCTCCCTCTCTTGCCCCCCCCCACCTCACACACACACACACACACACACACACACACACACACACACACACACACACACACGCACACACGCATGGCCGTTCATCAGACCTAGTTATCGACATTGGGAGATCTCTCCTTAAATGGTAGACTGCCCAGGGCCCTGCGTCTGTTTCCACCACGCAGACTAAATGAAGTCCAGGTCTGGGAATAGCCTTTTAAAGAGGAGGGGAATGCTGGATGGAAAGAAAAGTAAAAAAAAAAAATGAGAGAGAGTTGTAGAGGAAAAATGATGGTGAGAGGCCCTGGAAAGGTTTTGACCTTTAAAGATAATGTAATTGAATAGAAACAAATAGAATGATTAATTCAGTTGTTGATTAATTTATCACTTATTTTCATGATTGTGTAAAAAGAACTGCAGATTTTACATTTTAATTCTATTCACACAATATTAGAGACACATTAAATGATGCACAGAAACATTTTATTGCCTAAAATGCAATAACAGCATTCCTTTAATGTACGCTCGATCATTTGTCAAAGGACGCACCTACAGCTAAATCCATTAATAAGTGATTTAGCTGGTGTCTAATATAGATATAGTTTTTGCACTGGGTGAAGTTAAAACAATGGCGTTTTGGGTAGAACATATTTACAAAGATTTTTTATTTTTTATCTTAAATGCTAAATGTTTATATTTCTGGTACAGTTTTTCCTTAATTACTTTGTGCTTTGTTCTTCCAAGAAGTTGACATTTTTAGAGTCAACCCCTGTTGATTAATTGATTACTAAGTTAGTTACTGATCATTTGAATAATTGATTAATCACGATTAATTTGGTTAATCATTCCAGCCCTAATCAACAGTTCAAATTCCAACCTTTGACGGCTTGAATTTAGGCCTGATTTGTTTGGCAGCACAAAATTATTGCTCTGTGTTAGCACACCCTTAAACGGAAACTGATAATAAAAGAATTGTCCTTTTTATTTTATTGCTAAAGCTACATACATTCCTGTCACCAGCAAAGGTAAAACTTAACAACTTTAAGTAAATTTCTGTTTGTTCTTTAGGAATTTTCCTGCTGTTTTCTCATTTCCACTCTTGAGTTCATGATAAATATTTGAAAGAAACAGTTAAGCCCAATGTTATTCCTACCCATAATAGTGCAAAGGAAGTTTAAATTAGAATTTGTATCTCTGTGAATTAGTTTGGGCTTCAGCTTATAGGATACTGACAAGAAGTTAGACTTTTTGGCTTTCGAGTGAAATTTCAGGATCACCCTAAAATGCACTGAAACATTCCCAGGTGACCTACTCTAATACCTTAAATGCACATGAATGTTTAAGTACTTTTTAATACAACTTATTGTTCACTGACATAAACCTAAAATTAACAGGAGGTAAATCGACCAATAATTTTTCTGCTTGGTATTTAAACAGATTTATAAAAGCACGCCTAAGGGAGCTGCAGAAGGAGTCTGCAGCTCCCTGCTTACTCTGAAGGAGTAAGTTTTCCGGACTAAATATTTTCGTTCCCAGTAAAACATCTTGTCCCGGTTAAAGTCTTTCAAAACTTCGTGGGAGACGGTTTTTACTCTCTAACATCAAACATGAGTTCCTAAAGATGTGGTGCAATGTTTGCAGTGAAACACGGTGGTGGCACAGTGGAGCTTTGGGGTCATTTTTCCACAGGTTGAAAGTCTGGGTTTTTCTTGAGGTGGTTGAAATGTTGTACAACTCTAAATGCATCTAACAATTATTAACAACTGTTAACCAATTTTTGCTAGAAAGCAAAATTCTAGCGAAATTTAGCTTTCTAGAAGAACATACTTGGGGTCTCCTGAAGAGGGCTCTGAGTTAGAAATTTTCTACTAATCTGAAAGATTTGGAGACGATACTGATATTAAATGTTTTTATTTGATCAAAGGAACTAAAGTGTTGGTGTACACTGGGTTATCAGAGGTGAAATCATTCTAACACCCTTGTTCTTTCTGCTTTCCTCATAGCGGTCACTTTCCACTGCGGTCTTGAACATTTTGGAAATGGAAGACTTTTTAAAGTTGTTTCAAATCTATTAATTGTATTCATTTCCTTTTTCTTTCAGACTGAAAATCTGCAGAAAGTATGGCTGAAAGAATTTTTTGAGGTAAGACGCAAACTCAAATATTCAGCAGTGATTCCATTAGTTTTAGATGACATTAGACTGCATTACCCAGCATGCAAGTGTCTCTGCTTATAAAGAGAAATAGATTCTGTGGTTTTGTCCATCAGGACATAAATTGATCACTTAATGGAAAGTAATTTCTGAACAGTTTCCCTGATGATGTGCATGAATGAATCTGTGTCAAGTTTCAGTTTTTTTTTTATGTCACATTACAATTTGAGTTTGCATCTGGCACTTTTGTTAATGCTGTATTTAAAACACATTATTGTTTTTCTGTCCTGATTTATATATATTGCATGTCAGAATTGCATGGAAATGTATTAGAATGTCATTGTTGAAGCCTTTTGAACATGTTCATGAAACTGAGTGAACCCTATATTCATTTCTTGTTTTGATATATTTATTTCCCTCTTGCTAATTCTTCCTTTTAACTATTTTTTTATGTCAGTAAGGCAGGTTTCCATTGAGCTATTTGCTGGTTTACTGTGGTGTTATGTGCAGTTTATCTCAAAACTGACAACCTAAGGAGAGTTTGATCGTCAGCAGCAGTGAAAGTGAAAGTGATGTGTCAAGGAAAATTGACAGTCTGTCAAAGATTCGACAGGATTTCCATTGGTTCTCAAATTTTTTAGCTTCTAATCCACATAGAAAAAGAGCATTGTGACCCAGATTATCTGAACTAGATTATAGAGACTGTGGAAATGGCTTCCATGTTGTTTTCTCTATTTACTTGGAAAGCAATGATCTCTGTGAAATGTTTGAGTAAAATACCTCCTGGAAACACCTTGTAGGTAAAAAATTCTCCATTTCTGCCTGTCAAACCTTTATCTTTTATCTATTTTAATGTGTAAAGATTCAGACTTAAAATGAGTTTGCATCTGCTTATTGTTTCCTTCATGTCTCTCAAGCATTTCCCCATTTTTTTGGGTTACAACCACAAACTTCAATCAGATAGTGGTGCATAATTGTGAAGTGAAAGAAAAAATTTGCAATGTTATAAAAATTAAATGAAAAGAAATGCATTTAACCCGGATACCTCTACATAAAGTTAATCTTCGAGATGGAGAACAAAACGGCTAGGTGATTATTTGTGTTGCGCAGCGCTCTTACTTCCGCCTTCGAGATGTTGATGAACATTGTAGTTTTAAACATTCAGTCAGTACTACAGGTTGACATCAAAGCTTCTGGATGTGTTAGTGGCCTAGTCAAAGTCTGGACATATCTCTTATTGAGTTGCAGTTCTCAGGCTATTTCTATCCAATCTGACTGAGGTTGAGATACTTTGTAAAGAAGAACAGGGGAAAACATCTTGATGTCTGCTGGTAGAAACTTTACCCCAAACTACTTGCAGCTGTAGTTGTAGTTATATATAAAAATCATTGACTTGAGGTTGATGGGGATTTTTTGTGTTGTTCCACATAAAGTTTGTGGTTTTAATAGGAAAAATTGTGAAAAACTCGTGGGGGTGCCAATGCTTTTGGAAGCCAGAAAGAAATCTTTTGTCTTGGAACTAAAACAAATGCACAATCATTAATCAGATTCTTCTTCTTCTGTGGTATTGAGTGAGACAATGGATGTGTGCTCTGCCTGCACCTTCAGCTGTTATGCACCTACATGACCACAAACGCTGCAGATCAGCAGATTGATTTCCTTCTTGTTTTCCAGCTGTGCATGAGAGCTGAAGCACAGATGTGTTGGTGGAGCTGGTATCTTGCCATTTTCATGACCTAATTGCATTTCTTTCTTTTCTTTTTTGTTTCTTTTTACAAACATTTGAGCTCAGTCATGTTTCATATCACAATGCTTCACCTGCTGAGGAACCCCTGACTAACCACCAACTGTTTCCACTGGGTTAAGGGAAGCGAGGCAGCTGAACCTCATAACTCCTGTCAGAAAGTGCTGTTGAATGCGATAGAAAAGAGAGATTGAATGAGACGATAACGAAGCAAAAACAGCATTCGATCAGTTAAGAAAGATGCCAACATGGGGTCCATTGAGGTCAGTTAACCCTTTGTCGCCTGATTGAAGGAAGCGATGTATCGAGAGAAACCCACGCTGGCCGCAGGGGGAACATGCAAACTCCACACAAAGGTCTCAGCTAGAGACTAAGCGCCAAATTACTGCGCTGTTACTTTTGAAAACAATTTGGATAAAGATAAAAACTCTATTCTTTTTCTTTCTTTGTCTGATGATTTAGTAGATGCTTGTTCCTCTTTCGTGTCACAAAATGAGGGGCACAGCTAACGATGGTTTTTCTAATTGATTGGTTTATTGAATGAATAAATTGGCATGTTCTGCAGATTTTGCATACAATTTGTATACAATATTAGACATACATTAAAAATTAAACAAATAATTAAATTTCTTTTTTATACTGGAAAATAAATTTTATTACCTAACATTAAAAAATGTAGCATTCCTTTAGTAAATGCTTTGATCATTTGTTGCAAAGGATGCATCTGCAGCTAAAAGAACTAATAATTGGACAGAAAAAAGTGATTTTTTTCTGCGGGTGAAGCTAAAACTAAACCATTTTGAGGAGTTCTGGGTGGAACATTTTTATAGATTTTGTACATTTTGGGCCTAATTATTGCTCTGTATGTTGTCAAATTACTTTTTTAAAAGTCTGGATACTCCAGTTAACACATATTTCAATAATTGATTATTGGTAATTAGTCCCTTCAATCGTTTCAGCCCTACATGAAACCAAAACTCAGTTTTTTGTTAAAACATCAGCAAACAATGTCGTTTCTGACTCACATCATTTGTTCTGACCTGGGTGTGGCTTCTTCTTGTATGAGTGGCCTTTCAGTTCATGTAGGACTCGCATCCCTTTGGATGATGATGTGAAGGTTCAAAGGTCGCCTCCTGATATCTTGTCGGGTTCATTTTGTAATTTTTTTATATGATGTCACATTAGGAAGGAGGGAGTTTAAGCTGCTTTAATGTTAGAAAATTAACACAATGAAGGTTATTTCCTGTTTTTTTTACCTTGTAGTTAAACATCCAATCATGCTTAGAAAATAAAAGTTCAACCAACTATCCAAATATATCACTGGCAAGCAGAGTTTGAATGCATAACACTTAAGATATTGCATACTGCTGACATGCAGCCTTCGTTACGGTTGCACAATTCGATATGTTGTGCAGAAGAATCCCTCCAGCAGAGATGGCAGCAGCGGATCCAGAGCTAAATCATGCATGCTCATCAGCAGTTGTGCAATTCTTGCGTCACTGATCAACACCCTGAGGCCAAAAATAATCGTTTCTGGTAGTAGCGTGTAAGCGTTGTAGCAGCCAGTCTGTCGACAAGAACAGATTTTGAAGGTTGAGTTGGTGATATTTTTTCAACAGGAAGTGGTTTGACCTAGAGAAATTTTCCATTCGCCGCTTTATTGAAGAAGAAAAGCAAAGAATTGCTGCATGAGAGGCAGAAATTAATTTTCTCTTCATGAATTAGAAGCACATCATGCAATTATATCCAATCACTGTTAGTTGTTGGATATATTCATGTTTTCAAAGAAATGATGTCCTTGTCAACCCAACAGAGTTTACTGCAGTTGATGATTTTTGCAAAAGTTAGTTTGAATAATAACTTTCCAGCAAATATTTTTTTTTTAATTAAAGATGATTGAGGTTTTTTTGCCTGCAGTGTAAAGCAGCAAGCAGTCTCTAAATAGATCGATATATTTTCAGCTTTCTGCAACCCAAACTTCACTTTCAAGTTGACGACTGTCGGCGTGCCTAAAGCAGGTAGATGTCAAAACAGCTCATCACAGAACAGCCTGAAGTTTCCATTCACTCACCGAATCTCATAACGAAACTGAACTTTTCTTGATTTGCTTGAATTGTTGCTGCTTGAGGCCAGAAGGCCTTGTATGAGTGGATATAAATTTTCTGTTTAAGTAGTTTTACAGGTTGGCAGAGGAGAAACGGTGAGAGTTTCTGTAATCACTCTATTCATAATGTAGTTTTTCTGAGGAACTGAGTTACTTTGAGTGCAGATCTTTGCTCAGTTTGCTGATAACTCACTTTTATTTTTGCTGCTGAGAAATGAATGAAACTCTGTCATTAAATTAAATTTAATTCGGATCTGAAATACTGTATTCATCCCGTAGAGAAGTTAAATGTCACCATGTAAACTAGGTGTATTCAGAGAGTCGTGGACAGTGATGCTTTGGTCAGGAAGGATCTCCTGGAGCAGTCAGGTTTGCAACAAAACGGAAGAGGCCTCTGACCGTAGACTGTTGCTTTTAAATGCTAACAGCTCAGTGTCCTGACATCAAAGACAATATTTCACAGTTATATGACCTGGATGAAACAAGCACTGCTAATCTATCTCATTTGTTTTTGCTGCTCCTCTTTAAATCTTTGACCAGCCGAATTGTTAGGACGCTGGGCAGAGAGACGTTGGAGTAGGGGATATGATCCTTCTCTTTTAAGATCGATGGAAGAAATAGTTTGCACTTCCTCCTTCTCTCTGCTCTGCATCTTTGAAGCCTCCTTTTCTACTCCTATTTGTGGATTTAGGGTCAAAGTTCAGGTATTTTTTTAGCTTTTTATATGTTAACTTCAAATTGCAAAGTGTTTGTTCTTTGGAGGTCCAGATCCGTCGTTTCAGGAAGAACTTATTTCAGTTTCTAGATGAACAAGTATTAGCAATTTTCAGATTTAATTGGTACAAAAGAAAACAAGTTTTTCTACAGAAAGTCGTGTTTAATGTAATAAAATTGGAACTTTCTGCTTAAGAGAACTCTGGATGACTGGCTTCTTTCAGTGAGTTTTCACTTTCAGTCAGAGTTACTGGTAAATCATGGCCACATACCAAACTAATAGATTAATGGATTTCCTCATATTAACTGAAAATGCATAAAACAGATTGAGGATAATGCAGAGCTAATAACCAACAAGTGAATACTGATATTCATGATTAGATTTCCTGCTATCTGCCAGAACACTAAGAGCCTCTTAATGGCTGTTTT